AAGATTTCCATTTTAAATCCACGGAGACTCATCATTGACTATATAACAGGTGTTAGGTTTACACTTATGAAACTAACTTCCTTGGAACAGTATCAGGTTTCAGGAAGTAGGTTATGTTTTGTTAAACCTTTAAACCTCCCGAAATGTCAGAAAAAAAAAAAATTATAATAGACTTGGTTTCATTTCAGCATGGTCTGAACTCGGATAGCGTCTGAAATTCACCGACCAGAAAAAGGTGTCGGGAAAATAAACACAAATCCCATAAATCTATGTGGCACACCCGCATACGGATAAAAACAGTACAAAGTTCAAAAGTTCGGATTTAATTGATATGTACAAAATACTTAGCATTGCTAAAGAAGTTTACCAAATTGCTCTTTCCAATCAAAAACTTTACGAACATTTTTTTGATACATTTTAGAAATATTTATATATTTGGTGCACGTTAAAAAGATCGATTTTTGGTACTATTTTTATGTTTTTTAAACAATGGGGGAAAACTGAGAACAAAATCGGAAATTTTACGTGGCGGGCCAGATCAAATTCGATTTTTTTTCGTAAACCAACGGTGGTTTTTTTAAAGGGGGAAATGAAACCTCCTGGATTTAGATTTTCTATACCAAATTAATATAAAATACTTACTATGAAATACATACGTTTAAAAATGCAATAATTAGTAGTAAAAACAGATGGTATCAATTATTGTTCAAAACTATCTTACCATCAAAACACAAATGTGTCATAAATTATGTAAAGAACATCGATGGTTGATAACATTTAAAATATCAACAATAACTTAATACCTATAACATAATATAGGTATTAAAATTACTAACAGACCGTGAATGCGGTTATACTTTATGTTCCTTAATTTATTATTAATAGCATCAACGGTGGCATCATTGATAACAACCATACGATTCATTAGCTGAATCTTGAACAAGATAAAGTCATCTAAAATACCATCACAGATGAATCAACGGACATAAGGTTCATAATTAGGTTCCTATAATCACGTTCAACAGAAACCATGATAATATCAGTCTTGTAAATGTTTGTTAAAAGTGTTGGTGACATTATTTTGTTTTATTTAATTATTAAATTAACACTTGGCATTTGACAATTAGAGTATTTAATATTTGTCTAATGTTTTTTGACTTTTAAATTTCATTGTCAGTATATATAAGCATTATAATGGATTGTAATAAAAGAAAATAGCCTTCGCTATTAAAGTTTTTTTCAAGTTAATAAATTATTCGTTTAATTTGGATAATATTCGCTAATTGTTATAGCATGTTTACCTAACTAAACCTTAAATTATATTGTTATACAATAATAGGTATCATGTGATTTATATTTCATACCTTTGTTAAGGTTTATGAAAATCGTTTGACGAAATTTAAAATGTTTAAAACTTAATTATGTAATATTCTGAAATCTGGAGGATAAATCTGGAAGAGTTGCATATTTATAATGGGAATAAAAAAAAAAATGAGTTTAGAAATATCTTGAATGTGCAGATATATTTTAAAATAATATTCTATACCAATATTTTTTAGATAATATTGATAATAATAAAACTTCTTAAATCTGTGTTATTTTAAAGCGTTTTAAAATATATTCTAATAAAATTGGTTTACTCTCTCTGCAAAAATGTTTGTCTATGTATTCTTTCTTTTGTGTATGTATTTGATATAATGATATTTATTTATTATTATTAATTTGTTAATTTAAAAAAAACTTTTGTTTTGTTTTTTTTTTTTTTTCTAACCAGTATGTAAGTCGATTGTATACCTAATATTTATCATATTTCGAAAAATGAAATGAATCATACACGTTATATTTTTAAATAACAAATCCATGTTTGTGTCTAATGGCCCAAATATTCTATAAAAGTAGGTATGATAAAATTGATCCATATGAAATCACGAACAACTTATATTATCGTTACCGTTATTGTATCGCTAGTGTATCATAAATCGGAGTCGTGTGGATATACCTTTAACCCAATAAATATCCAATTCCGATTACTGCGCCTCCCTTTCACTTGAAAAAAAAAAAACTAAATACGTCACTTTAAACCAGTTAGAAATAATCGCAGTATCTTTTTTTTCTGTATGAAAAATTCTAGGCGTGAAATAATTTCTTGTATAGTTTTTATCGAATTTTGAAGAGTTATAATAGAATATTACGATAATTCAAGTATTATTTTTCAATTTCTTATTGCGATCATTTACTGCAGGTCACTATGTAGGCGTTTACTCATACAATAAGTCTGAATTTAGATAAGTCTTTAAAACAAAACAAATGTTCTGGGTTGAGCCTTACAGTATATTATGTATTTTAGTTTATTTTTTCTAGCAGCACCGCATGCAAGTTTAATTCCAAATGTTTCAAATTAAAAAAAAAATAATAAATAAAATAAAATGGGCGGAGATATTTTAAATAATTAAAAAGGAAAATACGCGCGTTGAAATGGTGTATTTGAGATTTATATTTTACAATACAGTAAAATATTAAAAATGTGTCAAACTAAAAAAAAAGTACTCTATACAACGACTCTCCCACACTCCCCCTCCTCCGACGGCTAACTAAACTTCATTGGGACAGTTTAAGTAAAGCAGGACAAATGTTAGAAATACTATACAAACAATTCGGGGGTATTATAACTGGTTAAAAGTTGAAATAAAGTTGAAAAATGTAATTTGTTTGAAAACATAGTTAAAGTTAATTTCTATTGTCGATAACCAATCCATATATCATGTTCAGTTATAATTTTATATTTTATACTCACAATTAATTTTCATAAACGTCTTGCAATTAAGTTACCCGAGCTGTAGATAAATTCAGAGTAATTCTCGATAAGATAGCTTAACGATAACTTTCGATACGTTAAGTCATTGATTAATAATATTTATTCCCATGTTATACAATATAGTGTAGTGTATAGTGTATTTAATTTAATTAAAACTTTTTATTTATTTATATTTTAAGTAGCGGAATTCAACTACTAAAGACGAATGATTGGGTCAGTTTTTCACGATCAAAACATTATATTATAAAATATTGATAACATTGATGAAAAAAATGTACAAATAAAAATTGTCAAGTTTTTCTTTATCTGAGAAACTCGTATTTGTTTGTTATCAAACTTAAAACTTCGTGCGTATAATTTATTTTTCACTAAGGTAACTTTATAAGTCACTTTCAACCGAAGTTTTTTTTAGATTCGGAGAGTATGTTTATACTAAATTTAACTTAGTAATAATATATCAGGTAAATTATTTTCACTTAATCTCCGGGAGAATTAAAGTTACCAAAACCTACAGGGATTTGTTTTCACATACAACCTAATCTGATTTCTATACTGATAAAATATTCAACCAATTTAATTTTTTTCATTTTTGAGTATGCGCAATACCGAATTTAAATTAACTATTATATTTAAGGTACATGCATCGAATATTATCATTTCTAATATTATATAAATATGAGCAAAATAATACAATAAAAATATAATATTTGAGTAAAATATGTGACCGTTTGAAATTAGCTGTCGATTGTATTTGTACCAGAAATTATATTACAAAAAAGACGGACATACTTCGCACGTGGGTGGGCCACTGTTATAGGTGAGAAGTTGGGAATGTATAACTGTACACAATGATTACCCATTGCTAACGAAAAACGATTCTGAACGGAGTTCGGTTAGTAGTGTTGTTTTATTCAATAATAATATAATATCAATGTCATATTATGGTAAAATAATACATATGCATTAGGTATATATTTTCTTTAATAATATTTATTTATAATTGTACATATTTTCTCGTATTTACACCGTTTATTCCCATTTATTATGAAAACTGATTTATCTAAATCAAAAAAAGACAACTCCAGTTAGATTTCCTTTTAGAAAAAGTACTATTATTGTGAATCGGAGCAAAATTGTTCTCAGATAAAATAAATAATTCGAAAAATAAACAAAACTGTAAAATCAATATATTCCTAGCTCTGCTAAAAATCTAAAAATCATATTATAACAATAATTATATACATGGCTGAGTTTACTTAGAGCAAAATAAACATTGCTTATGGCTCTAAAGAAATAGTCTGTCTAAAAGTGCTCAAGATTTATAAAAACATAAAAAGTACACATATAATATGTACAAATACAGTTAACGTACATATAAGTTATTAACTCAACTAAAAAATATTCAATAGATAAAGATTAAAACATTTGTTAAATAGTCCTTTTACATCCTGTTTACAAGCGCGTATTGGGTTCTAATTTTGTCCTGGGAAATTATTAAATAGGATCCAATTATGAACATTCTTCAAGTACCAGCCTGTTCAGCCTACCCACCTTTTTTTTTTTTTTTTTTGTGTTGGTATTACGGCGCTACAGGGGGGTTCTACACCTTGCGGCCGTCCTACCCCCTGTATCCGCATCATTTATTGATAAAAAACAAATCGCAAAATACAAATTTTTACAATGACTATAACTATATTCCTTGAGATGTGGTTCCGTGCTCCTCTTCTTGAGCCGGCAATGCCCGCCGCTCTTGAGTACTCGTTCGCCATCTTTCTCTTCTCGGGCCGGCGATGCCCGCCGCCCTTGACTACTCGTTCGCCATCTTCATCTTCTCGGGCCGGCAATGCCCGCCGCCCTTAACTGCTCGTTCGCCATCGCCCTCTTCCCGGGCCGGCTATGCCCGCCGCCCTTGTTGTCCCGTACCTGGCTGAGTAGCTCCTGCTATCGGGATCCAGTGGCGTCGGGTCATTTGTTACCCGACGCCGCTGGCCGCCCGCCCACCCGACGCCATGTTGTTACGGACGGTGTCGGTGGCGCCTCCGACTATTACAACAATTGTCATAACACACCGTCCGCAAATTAATCAAGTCCCTTGATCTGGGGCACGTGCGTGCGCCCTCTGAGTCTCCCTTTCCTCTTCTTCTTTAGTCGACAGAACCTTATCGACGAATCGTGTAACTGCAGATCACTTGCACTTGTCTTCGATCATCCTGTCGATTACTGATTCTGGCTCCATGTTGCACCCTAGAGTTACCTCCAGGGCTCTCCTGTAACGCCACCATCTGTCGCACCTGAAAATTGTGTGTTCTACGTCGTTTACCTCGCTGCCACAGTCCACACATGCGGGGCTTCCGCGCTTTTTGAACCTGTGGAGGTAGTGACCGAAGCACCCGTGCCCGGGTAGCATTTGCGTGAGGTGGTAATTTACTTCTCCGTGTTTCCGTCTGATCCACTTCTCTACGTCCCCGATCAGCCTACATGTCCACCTACCTTTTGTGGCGTTGCGCCACTCGGCTTGCCAGTTGGCAATGGTGACTCCACGATACGCGTGCTTGTCTACTGCCTGTTGGATCTTGCCCGCGTTATACCTTTTCTGGCTCTCCATGACTGCCAGGTGGGCGGGGATCAGGCCGGCCACCACCAGCGCGGCTTCTGTGGAGACCATCCTGTACGCCATGCATATCCTCAGTGCAATCTTTCTCTGCGGCGCCTCGATTGCCTTCACGTTGNTGCTGTGGATCAAAGCGCCTGCCCATATGGGGGCTGCGTATAGCAGCTGGTTTGTGACCACTACCGCCAGGAGTTTTCTTATTTCTGACCTCGCGCCTCCAACGTTTGGTAGTATCCTACCGAGTGCATTGGCCGTGTTGCCGGCCTTTGCTGCAACCGTCAGGAGGTGTTCTCGGTAGCCAAGTCTGCGGCACATCTCCACGCCTAGATATCTTAGCTTTTCTTTCGGTACCACAGGGACTCCGTCTACCATAAATGTCGGTTTCTGGTACCCTCTTTTCGTCGTAAGCACAACGGCCTCCGTCTTGTGGGCCGCTAGCGTTAGACCGGTTCTCTTCATCCACGACGAAACTGCCTCCAGAGCCCGGTTTGCCGCTATCTCGAGTAGCTCGGTGTTGTGTCCCGATACCACTACTGCCACGTCGTCCGCGAAGGCAACTAGCTCGGCCGAGGAGTGCCCAGGGATATTGTCACCCAAGTCGATGCGAAGGAGATCGTCGTACATTACGTTCCACAGCAGGGGCCCGATCACTGACCCTTGGGAAACGCCACGGTTAATGCTCCTGTGCTGGTCCTCCCCGAATACCAGTGACCTATCGCTCATATAGCTCCTGATTATTGTCAGCAGATATTCAGGGACCTTCTTCCGTATTAGCCCTTCGCTAATATTGCACCATCTTGCTGTATTGAACGCATTTGCCACGTCCAGCGTCACCAGCGCGCCTAGCTCCCTGCGGTAGAGCGGCCCCGATCCTTTACTGTCGATCACATCCATGACGTGATTTATGGCATCTATCGTTGACCTCCCCTTGCGAAATCCATATTGCCTCTCACTAAGCCCACCGAAGGTCTCCAGGTGCATATCCAGCCTGGCCTTAATTATACGCTCGAGGAGTTTCAGCCTACCCACCTAAGAAATCACAAAGTTACAATAGATAATTAAGAAAATAGTAGTAGGAAAACGTGTATACATCAAGGGCCTACACGAGAAGAGCCCACAGTAACTCCCGTTAACCCGGTTTTATTTATAGTCCATTTAATTATTTTACTATTTATGACATATATATTTTTGACAAAGAATCACTATCAACTGAACTCCACTCAGAATCGTTTTTTCGTTAGCGATGGTTAATTGTTGCTAACAGATATACGTTAAAATATAGTGGTTGCACCCGTCCTCATATTATCCTAGGACGACTTTTTTTTTTTGGCTATTTTTAATCTTGTTTGAGTAAGAAAGTCGTGTTTTGGTTTTTTTGTAGATTTTTTAATGTTTTAAAGTCGAATTTTGTCGAAAATCGTAAACATTACGGTCTTTAAAAACGTTTTTCATAAGTAATTGTTTATCGTTACCGATAAATTGAATAAATTTATGTATCCCACCTTCCTGACTTAACACATAAAACAATGGTGTACTTGTCCCCAGTACCAGCTAATTTTTTTAAAACTTGTACCCTCCTCTGTTCTTACAACGGGATAAATTTCTAGTACTAGAGTATATAGATATAAGTCACCGCATGCGTATGTTTTAAAGATATGATTAATTTAAATTTTTTTTTCTTCTAGGTAGATACCTATATATACATTTAAGTTCTACCCATTTCACTTGTTTACGGCCCGAGTATTTTATCCTCTTTTGATTATATTGCAATAGACGCAAAGTACGAAGGAAAAATTATCAGGCACCGACACGTATACTTTTAATCGGTATTTTATTTTATTTTTACCCGAAATCGAATTATTATCCAAAGTTTAAATGGGCACCGGCTCCGCGAGCGCGTTTGTTTTTCTCCCGCCCAACCAAGCACGGATATTGGCCGCAGGTCTCGATAAAACGAACGCGCGAAAACACCCAACCCCTCCATCTAATAACATTATTATTATCGTTGCAATAACGAATACTTACATATACTATTACTATTATTATGTATATTTTGGGGAAAAGAATGCGGAAATTCCCGCGGGACCCGCGACGGAGGGGCGGTTACCCGAACACCGCGCAGCAGCGCGTGCCCGCGGATCGGAACACAGTATACAACAATAGTAATAATAATAAAAGAAACGCTTGAGGGGGGGGGGCAAAGGTCCCGATGGACGGCGGCGGTCGTGACGGTATGAGGGGGGAAGAGAAGTGATGCGAGAGACCCACCGCCACCCCTCGTCGCGGCGAGGATTCCCCGTCCATCGGCTAGTGTGGGATAAAATACGATACGCTACGGGGTGTGTGTGTGTGTGTGTGACGATACAGACTAACGACGACGACGACAACGGCAATGCGCTTGCGCGAATAAGAAAATACGCGAGTGTATAATACAAAACGGCCGAAATCTCATTTCCCCGTCGGCTCTTTTATATTCGTGCAGGCCTCTCCGACAGACGACACGCGCGCTCGAGTCCACGGGTTATGTGGGGGGAGGCGAGGAGCGATGCCGTCTCCCGATATCGCGAAAAAAATAACCCCCCCACCCCGACGTTATCCAACAGGACTGCAGCGGGCGCCGCCTTCCCGCGGGACAATATTTCGTTCCCGTCGGATTTATTATAATGCGCGTTTTCGTTTATTTTGTTTGTTTTCCCGCGTCGTATTTTATTTTTGCGAATTCGCCGGGCACGTCCGAACGGCAACGCGCGTTTATGATCCTGCCGCACGCTGCACTGCTCTCTCGGCCAATAAAAATTATTCATTCTCATATCTTCTACGTTTTACATTACTGTGATGTATATTGTTATTATTATTATTTTTCGTTTGCGCGAATTCTCCGGTTTTTTAACGCAGTACATACGTATGATAAGATGCGGAATGATGTCCGAACCTGGATTTCAAAAAAAGAACTCGACATTTAGTGGCAGCTGTTCGCGAAAAAATCATTTACTTCTTAGTTCATTTCTATAGAAATTCATCACAATGAATGGTGAATGGATCCACGACTTCTGATAAATCAGATGAAATAAATTGTAACATAGCCAATTGAGACCTAGCATCTTGCATAGCCACGCGGTCAGGCCTTTAGTTTAAATAAAATTTACTACGTTTGAGTTCTTGTTTCTTGAGATCGTCCAGGTGAGAACAAAGTACTTTTTATGACATGGCCAATGGGCAATGGCTTTCTTATAATTTTTTATACGTTTCTCTAAACGTTTAGGCTCGGTGTCTACGTTACTATCGTGAAAACTTTACATACGCCAAATGCAGTAGCCGACGAATGGAAACATCTTTGTTCGGTTTTACCATAAACCAATTTGGTCTACGATAATTTTGATTTGAGCGTATATTTGAGTGTATATAGATACAGTTATACGATATGTACGAAACCGGCCTTTACGGCTCAGTCTAGTCGATATTTTTGAACCGAACCGGGTTGTCAACAGTAAAATACATTTCTTACAATACAACAGTAATAATTTATGATATAATCGTCCACTAATATTTGAAACTCCTATTCAGAACGATTCAGTTATTGTGTGATACGTGCGCTATATCTGACTAACTAACGAGTAACAGAATAATCACGTTACTTGGAACATAAATTGTGACGTTTAGGTTAAAATCAGAGTTTAAATCGCAACCATTAAAGCGGAGAATATTTTTGAGTACCGTATGTCTAGTTGTACAGTTGTATGTATAGTTTATTTTACATTAAGAGCGTAGCAAGAGATCTAAATAGGTTTTACTACGTGTTACTTTATATTTCCTACCAGAAATATTGCTCTAATAAAAAAACGACTAAAGGCCGTTTTTGTTTTATTTTTAATTTTGTTGGGTTATAGGAAAGTCGTTTTTGATTTTCTTTGTGGTTTTTTTTTTTAATAATTTAATATAGTTTACGGAAATGTATTGGTTTGGTTATTTTTAATTTTGTTTAGACGTAACATTTTGATAGATAACTTATACTTGCTATTGGACGAAGTAAAATGTTCAAAACATTTTATCGATTTTTGAGCTATTTGTAGGCATTTTATTTTTACGAGTTTTTATTTTTGAAATGCTTAACAATTTAACAGGAGGTATGTAATACATTTAATACTTAATATTTGTAAAATAAATTACCAAGGTGAGGTAGTAGGTACAATTACTAGTTCCATTATGAATAAAACCTCTTAAACAATGTTGCCACCTAAGCGCGTAACATCTTAATTCACAATATTAATTACGCGTTTTGGCTTCGCAGAGGCCCCCCACTTTAAGTTATTGTGACAACTAAGTGGGAGTCTTTAATGTGGCAGCCACGGAAGACATAAAGGTGCTGGACGATTTCATTACATAAATTCCTTACTTCTTTGGGTTCACTCAGTAGAAGCATTTACTTTTTTGCTCACTCTAACCATTCCACGGTTTTACAACAGCTGTAGATACCGTAGGCACACTGTTGCGTTTAGTTATCCTTCAAATTCTTACTGGTAGTTATATAAATCGTCACTTTGTTTTAGATTCTGAGCGGATCGAGGTATGTATTGATTTTACAGTGATGTTTATTTTAATTTTTTTTTATATGAACAACTTTGCTCTGGGTCTCCATCTTATGTGCAATTGACTAGCTATTGTGTATTAATAGAATGTAAGGGCATTTTTGTATAAGGGAAAGTAGTGGTAGGTTTGCCTACTTATCTTTACATATTCGTATTTTGTGTACTTCATTGTAATTGGTTATATTACTATAATTGTTCTACCATAACTCAATAACTCATTAACACAGTTCTTTCATTTCTGTTAGTTCAAAAATAAGGACTTATGGGATAAATTGTTAAAAAAAAGTAAACAGACATACTTCCCACGATGGGTGGACCACTGTTGTAAATAAGAAGTTGGAAAGGTAGATGGGACAATAATGTTTATCTTAATGAAAATATTAATCATTGTCAACGAAAAACGTTTCTGAGTAAGGTCAGGCGTGTCCGTGAGGAAGGGGGACGATGGAGGCGATCGCCTCCCCCCTAGAGAATTGAAGTATATTTAATAGGTATAACAAATATAATATTTGACATAATTTCTTAGATTCTGAGTTTAGTGGAAAATGTATTGGTTTTATATAGATGTTTGGTTTTTTTTTATGCTGTGACAAAAATGTTTACCAGAAATCTTGCCCCAATATGTACGCGGGGCACTAGTTCTCAAAGGAAATACTATCTAGATGATAGTTTTGGAAGTTATTATTTGATTTTCCAAGCATTTTTCATAATATCTGGAAAAACTCGAGAGAAAATTTAAAAAAAAAACGGTAAATTTACGAAAAAAATGCATTTTATTATCTTTAATTGTGTTATTTGTTGTAGTTCAGTTAAAAATTCGTCTTTGTAGAAATTTTAAATTTGGACAGAAAACTTAAATTTGCATATTTTTACGTGGTAAAACTGTAAAAACATTAAGTTATATTTAAGCTATTTATAAACATATAAATTTTTTGAGTAATTTGTATTTAGTAGATATTCTGTAGATGGAATCGTTAGACAAAACAGAAATGCTTGAAAATTGAGGTTAATTATAAATCGCACTTTGCGGTCAAGAACAAACAAATTTAATTTAATATAGTGTATTTTTTTATAAAAATTTTATTATCAAATTTTGACAAAAATTGTTTTAGAGGCCGTAATATTTACGGTTTGAAAATAATACATTTTGTAAATTTCCCAATTTTTCCTACGTGTTTTCCCATTTATTACAAAAATCCTTGAGAAAATCAAAATATAAAATTTTTAAAGTACTAACTCAGTCAAATTTCCTTTCAGAAAATGTGCTACGTTTGAAAATCGAAGCAAAATTTTTGGTAAAAAAGTTGTTTACTGAAAAAAATAAAAATCATTGTAAAAAAAAAAATACATTCGCTCTGCCTAGAATCTAAAATGTCGAAAAGTGCTTCGAGTAAA